AGACTCCACTGAAAGCCTTACCAAGAACAGGCTACTCCTCCCTCCATCCTGCCAAACCAGATAGCCTCGTTATAAGTGGGAGGTTACCCACTAAAGGCAGGGCCACACTAAATCAACTGGACTGACCCCCATCCCCCTGCCAGTCTGAAGACTGAATAAGGAGCCAGGCTCTGGGATTCAGGCCTTGCTGTATTACCAAGCAACATTCACAATCAAAACGTCTTTGTTCAAGGTGCTGTCACCCCATGGGGAAGCACTGACCTTGCCTTGAATAAGAGCATATGGTGAGCTTAATCCACACCTCCCTATTGCATCTCACATCTGGGATGCGACAGAATTACGTGCCTGGAATCATTTAAGCTGTGCAGGGTTTTTCACCAGTGCAATGGATGTATATGTGTTATTTCCGTAGAGAAAAAAATAGTTAATAAACTTTAGATCCCATTGAATAACTTATTTAGGGCAGAGCCACATTCGGCCCTCTTGAGAATAATGTGACCCATTAGAAATCCCAGCTAGTCTGATCGAGTTGCAAAGATTTATTCAAACCTAGCCTCCATCCTCACACCTGCCAGAAGTGGGGGATGAATAAATTAAAGGTGCATTTATTGCCAGCGGGTGTCTCAAGAGCCAGTCAGTGACGATCAGTGTAAGTGCACGCGTGCAACACGCCTTGTCTAGAGCTTTGCTTTCAGGCGTAGTTCTGGGAAACAGCTGGATGTCACATCCGAGCACTCTCCAAAGTGTACTTCTCTTTCTCGTTTCCACTGTCTGTAGCCGTCTGATTATGGAGGTCAATGAAGAGTTTGTGGACTAAAACACCAAACAGACTTCCCAATGTCGGCGCTACGATCGGGACCCACCACCAGTGATTTCCAGCCCTAAAAGAAAACACAGGAGAGAGATTTCAGATGAATCAGACGGGGACAGAACATATGCCCTGCTGTCCTATCCTGTGTAGGTACTAGCCCAGACTGAGTCGTGTCTGTCCATGTCCTTCCCTGAGGTGTACGGTGAAATACTCTTGTAGCGGAGCTTTTCTTCCCCTAGAACACACTGCTTCTACGTGTCAGGTATCCAGGTTGTAGCTGTACTGGTCTGGAGGCAAAAAGGAATCAGAGCTCATGGCAGAGGTGATATCTTTTATTAGACCAACTAGATTTTTGCAAAAAAAAATTCTTTAATTGCAAGCTTTCTGACTCCTTCTGCAGTGGCATTTTGCATTCCTGTGAGGATTGCAAAGGGGGCTTTCTGTATGAGGATTTCAGACTCCCTCTGAGTCAATGGGAGGTTTGCTATGGACTTTGAGAAGTTTTGGGTCAAACTCCAGATGAAGCAAGGCTCATCGCACCCACTCGGGTAGGGAAACCTTACTGTCCACATCCTACAGATAGTTAAGTGATTTGCCCTGGGTTATCCAGAAAGCTTGTTTCGAGGTCAGACATGGCACCCAGATGGGTTCCCAGTCCTGTGCCTTCACCAAATGGGGGGACGGTCAGGGAAACCTCTGTGATCTGCCCAGCATGAAAGGGACCCCTTACCTGAAGACCTCCAGTCCCCAGCCGGCAATGGCAGTGAAGATCCGGGGAGGCAGGTCTCTCGAGGGGTTGATGGCATATCCTGTGTTGATTCCCATTGACATGCCGATCACAAAGACCAGGAGCCCCGTGACCACTGCCTGGGTTCCCTTTAAGGCTGGATTATTCTTCTCGTCGTGGATGATCAGTATGCCCAAAAGCAGCACTGCCGTGCCAGTAAACTAGAGGCAGAGGAAGAAACAGGTCGGTTGAGAAAGCAGCACCTCAGAGAGGGATAGAAACTGGTCACTGCATAAAAGGAAGAGATCCCAGAGGTGGTTTGAAAAGTCACAAACGTGAAACCTTTTTCCTCGGGGCCATCATTTGATGTCTGGCCAGATGCTGTGGAGCCCATGTGGGATAGGCAGCCCAGTTCCTAGTGAAAGCATCCGTCACGCTAGCCAGCAACATGAATATGGACGCACAGACATTGAGTGAAACTATCTTTCATCTCTTCTCTCCACTAGCCCTAGGCACTGAGGAGACATATGCATCACAGCAGCCAAAGGTCAGTCTTGCCTCTAAGCTAAGAAGCCCCCATCTCTGCTTCGTGTCCTCATCGACATGAGAAGTGAGGTGGAGAGGATGACATGGGTCCCCCAAGCCGCTACTCCCGAGCAGGCCAGGAGTCTAGGTCCCGCGTGTGGTGTCAGGATGCCCTGGGCTGTCCTCACTGCCTCGTTTCTGGGGTCCTCGCACACAGAGCAGGACAGGGTGAGCAGGACGGACTGGCCCAGCAGCGATGATACTGAGGTCTCTAACACTGCAGGGCAGATGAGCCTGTTTGCACCCGGCTCAGGCAGAGCCCCGAAAGCCTACAGCAATGAAGCAGCCAGCTGTGCTCGATGTAAAGGTGTCGGGACACGAACGCCGGCCCCTCTCACGGCTGCTGCCAAGTGCTCTGTGCCCACAAGGGAAAAACGAATCTCCCTTCTCTGATGGAGCACAGCCATCATTTTTAGCCCTGCGGTGTCACGGGTATCGTGGGACTTGAGCCAAGACAACTGCATTTGTCCCTCTGCTTTGTGGGAATTCATTCGGCACCTGTTTTTTGCAGCTGTTCCACCCAAAGACATTAATAAAAGTGATAGCTTTGTGGCTGCTGGGAGCTCACACCACCATTCAGCTTGGGATCGATTGAGCTTAGAATTGATCGCTGTCCGGTTGCATCCCATGCTTTGCAATTATACTCTGGTATGGCAAAGTCCCCATGCAGCAGCCATGCTGTGCATCGCCTAGAAGATAGGCCAGATCTGAGGCCATGTGGGGTCTCCACTGTCATCACTACATGGCCGTTCAGGGCAGAGCTGGATCTTTCTGCTCCAGGAGCACAGGAGCCCTCAGATTTCAACTGAAAGAGACTCTCCATTCACTGGTTGCAGCATGGGGGCTCTGACATACAGCTGAGCTGTCCCGATACAATATCAGCCAGGAAGCTCTGGTCTGTGACTGGGATTAAATGATGATGATGTTGGTGAATGCAATGTTCTTTCTCCAGTAACCCTCCATTGATGAGCTGGAGCTGGAGATGGCTTGCATTTGAATCCCAGCTAGCAGATATGCTCATAATAGACAATGCTGTGCATCTTTCTGATGTACAAGATGGACTTTTATCTCACCCTTTGCTTTGTCTGATCTGGCTGTGGTCTTATCTGCCACGAGTAAATACTAGGGTTGGGTATTTGACCTGTCAGATAAAGTTAGGTCAATTGACTGGGTCAAATATCAGTCAAGAATTGTAAAAGATTGCTAATAGGTCCAATACACAGAAAAAGCACAAGCTTTCCATTAAGAAATGTGTCCCAAAAAACCCCGATAAAAATCATATTTCTGTCAAGAAAACTCCCAACTCTTTTATAAAACTGCTGTAATCTTTGACCAATCAAAAATATGAAGTCAATTGACCAGTCAATTGGCAATATTTGACTGAACAATTGACTTCCTTGCCAACCCTAGTAAACACACTTAAATCACAGCCAAGAGGTTCAAAATTGCCAGTTCTGCAATCATCTTAACATCACCACACCAGAGCATCAAGCCAGGAAAGCTGTCTGAGAAAGTCTGAAGGCTGCCAGGCCTCTGGTAGGAGGGGAACTTTTTGGGGTGCTGTGGAGAGGCTCAGAAGGAAAAGGTTATAATTGCAAAGCATGGGAGGCAACCGGCCAGTGATCAATGCTAAGCTGAATAGCAGAGAGAAACTCCCTTAACAGCGCAATCAGCCACACCGAGGACCAGCCTGGGTACGGGCCGTATCCAGCACTAGCAATGTGTAGGGAGCTGGAATGGACTGGGCCTGTACTGGTGGGTGCACAAGACTTGTTCCCTCCGAAGCCGGGTTGTCCCCCAGGTGAAGGAAGGGGCAGGTTCAGCCCCAAAACAACAGACCACGCAGGATCAGATGGTGTGTTTCTGGGCTGGGGCATGCTTGGGTAGATCCTGGTCCAGCACATGGCCACCATGATGCTGCCATGCCCCTGGGTGCAGCATCTCATTGCCAACTTTCTGATCCTCTCCCTCCATGGGAGGGTCCTGGGGGTCAAATGGTCCAACCCCCCTGCTCCTGCGTCATTCCTAAGCCATCTTCAGAGAAGCCTATCCAGGTCCCAACCCCCACCATGGGATCAGCCCCTTCCCCAATTGCTCTATCAGTGGCCTGTTTGGAGCTGCCTGGAGACCTTGTCATGATGCACCAAGATGGGAAATAAGCAGGGGTTCCCCGATGCCCCCCGAGAAACTGAGGCAAGCGCACCTCTCGGAGCCGCGTGCCATGCAGAGCCGGCGTCTTGCGGGAAGACGGACAAGCCGGTTCCCAACACAGCCCTGCTCTGGGGCTCTCGCTGCTAACTCCCCATCTTCATACGTCCACCCGCTGCCAGCTCCCGCGCTCTCCATTTCCAGGGACCCACCTCTCAATCGTACTACCTTGCTGTGCCCACTCGCCTTTGCCTGCAGCCCATCCCAGTGCAACCCAACCTCCTTCTTGGCGTTCAGCTCGTCCGCATAGGGGCTTATTACAGCTCCTGGCTCCGTATCATCCATGTGGCACCCTCTCGACACCACGCATCCCCATCCTCCACCCTGCAGGCACCCTAGGGACTGACCTCGTTGAAAAATGCCCCCGTCAGGGACATATACGGGGCTGGGTAGGTGGCGAAGAACCCGGCCGTGGCATTGGGTCCCGTCACGGTGAAGTTCCCTCCAGTGTAAAGGTAAAGTGCATCTAGGAGAAAGGGAAACCAGGGTAATACGTGTGGGGAGAGAGAGAGACAGGGCAGGGCCTTCGGCGCAGACACCACAATTGCAGCGTGGGAGGAGAGGAGCGGGACATCGTGGCCTTGCCGCTACACCCTTCCCAGGCACGGAGTTCATCGACCACTCATCTCCAGGAGACTTTGGCCTGGAGACACTACGGCAGCCGCTTGAGCTAGATGTGACCTCCCGCTGCAGCTGCACAGCTTTGGGGCCCCCCAGAAAGAAGAAAGACTCCTTCCCTGTGCCCCAGAGAGGCTTTTGAGACATGCCAGAGCCAGCAGCCAGATGGTCTCGCTCCTGGTAGCAGCAGGCAGCAAAACAAACCCCACCTTGTCCTCATCCTCCGAGGTGTCCCCCTTCCTCCCAGCTCCAGCTGCAGTCGAAGTGGAGCTGCAGCTGCTGAAGGGGTTTTAAAATACCACGTCCCATCGAGCCACCCGCTATACCCACTCTGCACCCTTCCGCCTCCAGCTCTTGCCGTGGCAGCCCCAGCCTCAGCGACTCCGGGGAGGGCTGGCTGCAGTATGGCACAAGGCAGATGCAGGCCCCATGACTGACTCTGGGTTGTAACGATACCTTCCTGGGGCCAATTCAAGGTGGTGGCTTTATGCTACAAAACCCAGCTAGGGTGAGGGCAGTGGAGACATTCAACATCGTGGGACCAAGAGGCCGATGCCTGGGAGCATGAGAGTTCACTGTGAGTGGTGGCATTTGCTCCCCAAAGAGAGCTCAAGTCTCTTGGGCCAAGCCCAGGGGAAGTGTCTTTTCACAGGGGACCCAGAAGGTAGGTGCAAGGGCACAGCATATCTTTTCAGTCTGACATTGTGCACTTGCACTAAGCCAGGTGAAAGCACTCCTGTCCTAGTGTGCATCTGATCATGAGCTAAGACACGGAAGGACCAGCAGAAGGGAGATCTCGGGCAGCTTGGCCCTGCAGAGCAGAGAGGCAGGAGCTGAGCAAGTAGCTCCTTCACGTGGGATCAGCAGCATACCCTGAAATATGTGTCGCTCAAGCCATTTGCCCAGCTCCAGCATGGGTTTAAACCCTCCTGGACTCAGCATCCAAGTCCTATTCTCAGCCGGCCAGGAGGGAGCATGGAAGATGCACTAGCCCTGCCTTGGCTGGCCCGTGGAGCAGCGCCGTGCTTCCCAGCGTGCCTGTCTGGCAATCAAACTAACGCACAGCCAGCCAGGACCATAGCTGGGGAAAAGCCACCGTACCGTAATACAAGCCGAAGATCGTGGCTGCTGCCACGAAGGACCCCAGGAACTGGCCCACCACGTAGGCCGGGAGCTTCTTCCAGGGCAGCTTCCCCAGGAGGCAGTAGGTGAAGGTAATGGAGGCATTCATGTGAGCTCCTGTGGAAAGAAAGCATTGCATCTGCTTTACTGCACCTGTTGCAGAGCAACGATTGCACCGTTGCTGGTCACCCCTGAGGCTGGTGCTGGGGAATACCAGGCACCAACAACATCCACCCGGGAGGAGTCATCCCTTGGGCATGTGAGCCCTTCCATCCACCCATGAGTCTTGCTTCTCTCCAGGCACCTCTACCTGGTGCTGCCACATTGCCCCTGCGGGAAGTGACTGCAAAACACCTCCCACACCAGTGCGTGGCTATGATGTGGAGCAGCCCCAGTGACGTAGCTCAGTGCCCCACCCCGACCCTCGGGTAGACCCTCGGGCAGTGGACTCCCATGCGTCTCCCATGCATGCACACAGGTCTCCCATGCAGGAGAAGGAGGCTGGAGACTTGCTGGGATGTGGTTCTTGGTTGTCCTATACCTTGTAGAGCAACGCAGAATAGCAGTGTTTGCATCCACTACAACCTCCCCAAAGTCCATGGACACGGCAGGGCTCAGCACCTCCAGAATCAAGTCTGGAGGGGGTGCTGGGACTACATCTTCATGGTGGAGAAATGAGGCCTATAAGGTAGGGCAGGAATGAATTGCAGCTGGGAAATTACCCCCGCAGCACTCTGTGGCTTAGCTGTGGGATATCACTTGCCCTGGGTGACTAATGCATTATCATGCCTGCTGTTAATTAACTTCTCTCCTGGCTTCACCCACAGATCCTGAGCAGGGCAGGAGAGCACGTAGCCCCAGAGTGAGCTGGTATCAGCCTCCTGGTTGCTCCATTTTTCTAAAGACACGAGAGTCATTTTTCCCCTGCTCTGAGGAGCTGTTTTGCTGCTGAAACAAAGGACAGTCTTGCTCCTCTGGTGCTGGGCTGGGCCTGGGGAGATCTGGGTTCACCCCTGATCTCTGCCACAGCGTTCTCTTGTGACCATAAGCAAATCACTTATTCTCTCTGGGCCCCAGTTCTCCCATCTGTAAAATAGGAGTGCTACTTCTTCCCAGTTAGCTTAGCAAGCTCTGCAGGGCAGGGGCTGCCTCTTGTCTCAAGCTCAGTGCCCAGGAAAAGGTGGCTCAGATTTCAGTGGGACTCTCTGGCACATGAGTACCCTGGAGGGTGGCTCCAAAGAGGATGGAGCTAGGCTGTTTTTGCTGGTGGCAGATAACAGAATAAGGAGCAACGGAATCAAGTTGCAGCAAGGAAAGTTGAGGTTAGATAGTAGGAAAAACTTTCTCATGAGGAGGGTAGTAAAGCACTGGGACAGGTTACCCAGAGAGGTTGTGGACTCTCCATCCTTGGAGGTTTTGAAGACCTGGGTGGACAAAACCTTGGCTGGGATGATGCAGTTGGGGCTGGTCCTGCTTTGAGCAAGGGGTTGGACTAGATGTGACCTCCTGAGCTCCCTTTAACCCTCATTTCCTATGAGTGTATGATTCTACCCAACTGATGGTTCATAGGCGATGCTATGCCCGTGAGACCCTCCAACTTCGTGCGTGGCTGCAGGAGTTTTTGCCTCACACAGGTGCGTGTTTCTTTAGGTGGACAGGGAGAGTACGCAGGACGTTGCCAGCAGCCCATTGCTTGCTCAGTGTCATTGCCCATGGGCTGGTGAGGCCTGGGGACCAGTGCTGGAGAAGTTACTCTTATCCAGGCCAAGGAGTCAAAGATGGGCAGTCGTGATGCCTGGCCACAGATACTAGCAGGCCTTATCCACCTTGGCCCATGGGTGAACCAAGCCCGGGATGAATTTGGATAACTTTGCTCTCATCCTCCTGTCTTAATGGCCATGCCCTTTTCTACCCCAGGACCAGGGGGCTGGAAGGGGCCTGCTGACCATCAAGTCCAGGCTCCTGCATTCCCAAGCAACTATTTACTCAAGTGTCTTCAAACCTGCCAGCCCCCTGCACACCGCTAACACCAAGGTACCGCTGGAAATGAACCGAGACACGGCTTCACTTGCACCACAGGTGTCATCGGCACTGTCTTACAACAGGGAAGAAGCAGGGGAGATGAGGCACTGGCAGGACCCTGCCTGGCGAGCCGAATGGGACCGGAGAGCAGCAAGCGTGTTCTTCCGTGCCAGCTCCCGTAGGCTGGGACACACTATCCCTAGTCCGCCCGTACAGCATCTTCCTAGGAGTCTCCTCTCTGTTCACTGCAAAGGTGAAGTCAACCCGCGATCTGAAGTTGGCTCTGAGTCTGAAGGTCAGTACGAGCCCCGTCCCTGCCTGAGCTGAAATGACACCTCCTCTCATGTCCTGTATCTGAAGGTCAATCCCTTTGCTAACAAATATGGTGTAGGTCATCCCCTTCACCCAGCCTCCTGCCCCCCGAGCAGATCTATCACCTCCAGACGGACAGTGAGGCTGCGAGCGGGCTGCTTTTCCAGGTGCTTTTCCTTTTCTCCTGCACCCCCTGCTATGCCCTGCCCCTGGAAATCCCACATTTCATCCTGCAATGTTAGGAGCAAGGGTTGGGTTCAGTTTCCTGCCAGTGTAGACCCCACTCTCTTCTGCCAGGACAGATAAGCACAGTGATTACAGAAGATAAGAGGCATGGAGAGATCCAGTGCTGTTGCCCTGAAACAATATCCCTAGTGTGCAAGTGCGTGTGTGCGCATGTGTATGTGCCTGTGTGTTCATGTCTGTGCATGTGTGTGCGCATGTCTATAGAGAGGTGTGTGTCTGTGTGTGCATGTGTGTATGGGCATGTCTGCAGATGTGTGTGTCTGTGTGTGCAAGTGTGTGCGTGTCTCTGCACGTGTGTGTGTGTGTGTGTGTGTGTGTGTGTGTGTGTGTGTCTAGGATCAAACTCATAAGCTGCTCAGTGCCATTGGCACCAGAATTTCTTATAGAACAAGAGACTGAGTTCCCACCGAGCAAGATCCAGGCTACACAAGGTTTACTTCAAGGAGACTGGAGTCCAAAGTGCTCCTAACTCCCTTGTTGCCCTCCCATGCCCCTGCAGGGAGTCTGGGCAGGGAAACCAGTGCATCCAGAAATAGTGAAAGGAGGGTTTTGAGTCACCCCGTGCAGGTCCTGCACAGGGGAGGGGAACCCTGATGCTCTGAGTTTCTTCTCAAGCTGCTCCATTGGGATCAGGGATGGCACATGCCTCCTATTGCATCCATGGGGGGAATGGGAGGTCCGTCTCTGGACCTGGGCGGTGGATCTAGGGGAGCCAGGGGCCATGTGCTCTGAAGGGGAAGTTGGGGAACGGTGACTCCCTACTCTGCACGGTCCCCTCCCTCCCGCAATACTCCCACCTCCACAGCCTCAGCACCCAGATGTGTGTCCAAGGCTCCTGCTCCCTGTGCTGGACCAGTGCTGCTAGGACAGCAAAGCCTTCCCACCAGGGTCTCAGTGTCCAGGGGAAGGGTCCTCACAGCTGTGCAGCAATGCATCTCTAGGTCACTAAAAACACAACTTTTTCAGCAGCACCAGCTCAGACAAATGCGCTTCCCACAGGCCACCTCCCTTGAAGGCATACCCAGCACCCACAGTACCCCCCTGCCTCCTTCACCTGCAGAGCTGGCTCCAGGAAGACGCCCCTCCGCGCCCTCTATCCACCGTGCTCACTCACCTGAGATCCCGCCAGCTGCATGGATGCCCAAAGCGACGCCCAGTCCGAATGACAGGTTGATGCTCAGGTATTCCCCAAACTTTCCTCCTCCTAGATTCACCTGGGCAATGGACCCTAAGCCAAGGAGCTAATGCAGAGACAGAACAAGAAGGATGCACCATTGCACGAGTCCTCCCGGGGCCAGGCTTGCCCAGCGGCTTTGCCTAGATCCTAGTCGAGGCTTCAAGAACATCGCAAACGTGACGACACGAGGAGGGCAGCCGCTCAGAGATGGAGGATGGTGTTCCCCGCAAACCCTCGCCTCGGGAGACCCGCTGTGCAAACACGCACGTGCCCCCTACAGCAGTGATTTGCACCCAGGGTGCCGTGAGCTCTGTGGGGTGCTGTGCAACGTTAGCACTCTCAGGTGTGCAAACACTTCCGCGTGATTCACAAGAGACTCCAAACAGGAGTGCAGAGGGTCAAAGCCATGCTGACCAGCTGGGGTCTTTCTGCGCTCTTGGCCCCAGAAGAATTGCTCTGTTTAGTCAAGAAATGAGTGAAAAGCTCAGAGCTGGCATATTTGAGGTGGCTTGAGTCTAGCAAGAGGACCCCTGAGCCTAGAAAGGTTCATAACCACTGATCTAGAGCTCCCATCGCTGCCTTGCAATTTGGGACTGGGGCATGGAAGTGCAGATCCAGGTTGCTGTCGATGACGTGGGACAAGCTACAGCCCCGATGGCAAGACCTAGCCCTAAAATACAGCCACGCTGAGCGGCTTACTCCAGGAGCTAAGAGGAAAAGGAGCCGAGGCATCACGTAACTAGAGCTGGGAGGGGGCTTGGGGGAATGGTTTAGTCTCTGAAAATATTCCCGGGGTGCGGAGGAGGGTGAAACTCTTCAAAGCTGGGCCAGGCTGGTGACTGCTTTGAGCCACAGCAAAGGAAGCGCTGGAGAAGCCAAACCCTGGTCACCTCACCTGACATGGTTTTTGAACAAATAACACTTTTCCAATTTGTTTTGGACACAATAGTTTTGTCCACACAATTGTTCACCTTGAGCTTTAAGACAGGGTTGGGAAGAATGCGTTTCAAACCACAACCAAAAAACCCCCCAAACCAACCCCCCTCCCCCCTCCAAAACCTTATTTTTCCAAGAAAACTAGAAAAATCTTTTTTTTTTTACTCTTTCAGTTCAGCCAGCAAAGAGGAAAATCAATTATTTACTCAGTTCTAGTCGTTGTTCCTACCATATGATACAGAGGGAAAGGGAATGTCTCACAATACCGAATCCCAGCCATCTCAGGCATTCGAGAGAGCACCCGGCACCCGGCACCACGAGCATCCCCAGGACTCAGCAGATCACCGGTGGAAAGCGGTGTGCCAGGGGCTGGGTAGGGTCGTCCTGTGCTAGCTAACCCTGTCCTGTTGTGCTGCCCCACATCTCCCAGCCTGCCTTTAATGACAACTTTCCTGACTTGCTTTCAGACATCACCAGAATCCATCCTTCCGCCCCGCTGCTGGACCGGCCTCTCGCCCCCACACCCGTGCACACGCTCTGATGATCTGCTGCATGAAGCGGTGATCTGCACTGTGTGAAGGCCATTTCCCAGCTGGCCGTAGGTCTCTGGACTCTAGAAATCCCTTGTGAAGCTCCTTTCCTGCTCAAGCCAGAGTATTTTATTGCCCTGAGCTGCATCACCAAGGACTGCCCCGCAGCAATGGCAGAACAAAGCCGTTGCAGAGCGTGAGCACGGGCTGAGGAAGTTCATTGCTATACTGGGGAAGCCCCAGGGCAGACTAGAGATAAGCCACTTTCTAGGAACAGCTAAATCAAGCCAAAACACAAGTATTGCCTCTGGTCTCATGACCCCTGTGTGGGATCGTGCTGGTTCCTGCGCCCACTGTTTCAGCGAGGTGTTTGGAAACGGGCAGCATTTCCAAGCCAGGACCACGCATAGTTTCAGAGACAAGACACGGGTTGGGACGTGTACCATGCTATTATGTGTCTGGGTTTTGACACGGCACATCCACAGGGCTCTCTGTAGGTAGGCAGTGCTTTCTATCATCTCAGGGAGCGGTGCCGGGCCACCCCCTCCTGTAGGCTGGACCGTACGCTTGGAGTATCTGCACGGAGCCGGGTCAGGTGCAAATTCAAACCCCAGGTCTGCGTAAAGCAAAGCACGTTGCTTGCCTAAGACTAAGGGAGCTCTTTCCTTTCAGGCTCTGATCTAGTCTAATTAATCCATGGGAGGCTTCCCATGAACTTCAGCGAGCTTTGGACTACACCGGTAGTCACGAGAAGGATGGAAGACATGTCCTTCATCACTGATGGACGCTGCAATTAGTTCTGCCCGTCAGCAGCTACCGGTGAAAGTGGTTGCTTATTCTCAGTGTACTGTGAGCTCTCCCCATAGACTGGTGTGAATTTGGGTTATTCGATGTATCTCAAAGTCCTCCATGGATCTGCCGCTCCAAGGCCGCCCATGGGAAGCATTAGACTACAGCAGGCAGGAAAGCAGGTCCCCAAAGCTTTGTAAGACAACCCCAGTGCTGCATTGGGCATTTCCCTCCCCGCCTAATTCTTTATGCAGATACTCTGTCCTTTCTGCCAACCTGCTGCTGGTTCACCTGGCACATCCCTTAACACAGTACACCAAACATGACAACTGTGATACGATAATGGACACCCCACGATATCCCTGCCAGTCCATGGTGTCCACGGCGCGGGCTCATTACAGGGCTGCACTGGTACACATGCTGCCCAGTCTGCTTGCAGAAGCCCAGACGTGTGGCCTGTCGGGATAGCACCAATAATATTTCTAAATATAGATAAGTGACAGTGTAATTCCTCTAATGATCACTGTGTTGCCTCTGTCCTCCCTTCTTCCCACCTGCAATGCGGCTACACCCACTTTCTGGGTCTCGCCTTGAGAGAGGTTGTCAGCTCTTGGAGCAAGGCCTGGCTTTTGGCGTGTTTACACGGGTCATGGCCTCGTGGGGCTCCACCCGTCCCAATCTGGAGCTGCCATCACATTAATGAGCGCTGGCAAAAATCCAGAGGATCCTGCCCTTCACGTTGCCAATCCTTCAACACCACTGGTTTGCCCAAGAGAGGAGCAGGGTGCACTAGCAAGCTTATGTCAGGTGAGAGCAATGCCAAGCTGTGCGCTGCTCTGTGCCTACGGGATGTAGTAATGTGCAGCGCCCATCAAGGTTACTGCAAGCGCTTATCTATCCACCCCACCTAGAACCACACAAAATGAGGGTTGAAAAGAGCTCAGGAGGTCACATCTAGTCCTACCCCTGCTTCAAGCAGGACCAGCCCCAACTACATCATCCCAGCCAGGGCTTTGTCTACCCGGGTCTTAAACACCTCCAAGGATGGAGATTGCACCACCTCTCTGGGGAGCCTGTTTTACTTCAGGCAGATCAAAGTCTCCAAAATGTCTAGGAGCCCCTCCGACACCTCCTGCCGGAGGCCTGCCTCCAAATCCATGAATACTCTCAGAAAACGCCTTGCCCCCCTGGACTTGGAAAGCAGAGAAACTCCAACTCTCATCTCCTGAAAAAGTGGGATTTTATATTTCATCTGCACATCACCCGGAGTCAAGCAACTCGACCCCAGCTCTGCCGGGACACCCCAGAGGGTATGACGTGGGGTCACTGCTCCCGTGACTATGAAACTAGTTGGGACCCCCTCTATCATCAGGTGCTTTATCAACACCTCTGCACCATCTGACTCTTGTATGAAAAATGAGAAGAAAAAAAATTGTTTGCTAAGCTCCTGGCAAATATCCTGGTGGATAAGGCTTATTTGCCAAGCCAAATGACCAGATGCCCTTTCACAGCTGGGTAGGTTGGCAGCAGGCTTTGCTGAGAGTCCACAGCAAGGCTTGAACCCTAGAGCTGTGGCAAGACACCCCGACGACCCTGTGGCCTGGGGTCTATACATACAACAGAGCGTGAAAAAAACACATGCCCATTTGGTACGTGCAGGCAGTGCCATGTGTTTGTGTGTGCAAGCGGGAGACAGGGAGAAGAAGAATCAGGGGCACAAGCAGCCCTGGCATCACTGCAGTGCCCGGACTCCAGGGCTCCCCTGTGCCCAGCTCTGTACAAACGAATCCCTGCCCCAGACTGCTGGCACCAAAGGTTGGTGGAGTAATTCAGGGCAAAGGCAGCGTTTTCCTGTCCAGTACCCAGCACAGCGGGGCTATTTGGGTGCTAAAGGAGAAATGCAAGATCCCTTCTGCATTCCCGCTTTGACTCTTTTTGGGTGCCCAGACCACCAAATCACATGTTGTAAGGAGAGGTCTGGAGCTGGAAACAGGGCCCGTCACTCTGAAGCCCCAAATCTGCTTCTCCTACGAGTTATTTGGTGAGAAGTTGTCCGATAAATAGGCACCATTGCAACATCAAGCAGCAGGGGAAGACCGGGTGCGATCGGGCATGCGTATCATTCACTAAGAGGTGCCACCCAAGCCCACGACCCATCTGGCTCTGAATTACAGTCATTACTCTTATTAGACACTGGACATGGGACGGCAATATGTTTTGTGTTCTGCCCCACGGGGCAGTAACAAGCCAGGTTGGAAGGGGAAAGCCTCTTAGAGTATGTCAGTGGCAGGATCTGCCCTTGGGCAAGTCCCTTAACCTCTCTGCCTCACCTTCTCCATGTGCATCCTAGGGATCAGGACCCGTGAGCCAAGGGAGGCTGGCAGCAGGCGCTGCCTGAGTAACCAGCTGGCCGCTATCGACGAGCTGCTGCTCCGTGGCTTTGGCAACAAACTCTTTATTCTCTCGCAGCAGACAATTAGACCCGTTGTTTGGTTCCCAGGCTGCTGCGTGCTTCCTTGATCTCTCCACTTCTGCCTTTGCCCCTGACAATAAGCTCATTCAGCTGCCGGGCAGGGCAAACCTCGGCGGAGAGTTAACCCGTAGCAGCCTGCCAGCACCGCAGGTGTCAAAAGGGTCTGGCGTGAGAGCTGTGCCCGGCTGCTCTGGGAAATGCCCATGTCAGCTGCGGACACGCACGGGCCCATGCCCACCTGTGCGAATACACACACATGCACAACACAAGCCGTCTCCCTTACCATCAGAAGAAAGGTGCCCAGCGCCTCGGCCAGTGCCTCCCGGACGAGCTCGTTGCGGACCGTCAGGATCTTCTGAATTTTCTCCAGCATCCTGCGCTCTGCCATCAGCTCTCAGCCCCCCAAGCCCCTGCGGCGAAAGCAGATGTCATGACACGGGACAGCTCCCTTTTGAGACGGCTCACCCCCCCTTCGCCCTCCAACGCCTCCGGTCACTCGATTAAAGATGAACAAACCAGTGAAGCAGCAACTAGCCTCAAAGTCCCTTTTTTTGTTGTTTTTAAACCCTTTTTTTTTTTTTCTCTTTGCACCGGTTAACTCCTGGGGGAAGAGGAGGTCGCTCAACATGACAAAGGTGTAACATTGCTAGAAGACAAAATAAACTTTGCTCCTCCGTCAGAGTCCGTCCCCATGGAGACAGGGTGATAAACATCCCAATTGTAGTCCTCGCGCTGCTCTCATTCTCCGTGATCTTTTTCCTAAGATGCAATCAGCCAGCTCCTGTTCGGTGTCCCAATGAGCTGCCTGATGTATCGCAGGCGGATGCCTTTCAATGGACAGAGTTAGGACTGCTCACCTGTGTGTCTTAGGCCCTGTACTGAAACCAGCTTGCGGAGATTTTCCTTCGGCTTCCTTTGAAAACACCTGAGTCCTGCCCCGACTCTGGTGGGGCACCGTGGCAATATTTCAGGGGTGTTGGTCATAGCCGTGTTGGCCTAAGGACCTAGGCAGCTAACATTATTTTGGGTAAATGTGATATCTTTCTAAAATAGTTGGAAAAATTGTTCTTTGCAAGCTTTCGGGTGCAAACACCCTTCTTCAGGCAGAGGGAGAATGAAGAAGGGTGTCGGCACCCGAAAGCTTGCAAGGGACCATTTGTTTCCAACTATAAAAGACATCACATCTACCCAAAGAGCCATGACAGTGTGTGCTGAACGTGGCAGCTAGAGGTTCACGACAGTCGGATGTTTCTGTTCCAGCACTTCAGGACGGTGTTTCTTAAGCTCTCTATCTTGGGCTCCTTCCTCTGGGACAACGAGGAGCCAACAAATGTTGTCTCAACTTCCTCTGCTCCTCCGTGTCCCATCCACACTTGGGTGGGTACCCTGAGCATGCAGGTCTAATCCCCTGCCGGGGGCCAGGAAGACACAAACTTGATAGGCAGACATTCCCTTCACCCGCCTTCCCGACACAGGATCCCTTTTCTCTCATGCTAATACCCTTCGGCTGTTGGATAATTGACTGTGGGAGACTGGTTTGCATAAGCACAGGGTTTACAAGGCGTGGGACAAGCACCTGGCTCTGGCAAGCGACAAGGAAAACAACCTAATAAACCCACAAGTATTGCAGAAACCTGGAAAGGAAGAGACTGGCCCCTCCTAGCACGTGTCCCTGGCCCTGCAGGGCTTTCCCTCGCGATGAAAACACTCCCTGCAGAGTCCTGCGTCTACATGACAAGGCTCCCACCACTTCCACCAGGAGACATTTCTGCAGCCTATAGGATGTCACTGCCAAGAAGTTTCCCTTGATATCCATGCCAAATTTCCCCTCCCTAAATGCGATCCCCTTGCTCCTATTTGTACCCCTTTATTGCAACGTTCTCATGTCCACGTCCCCCAAGCCCCCCCTAAGGCAGTTATCACATCTTCCTCTTAGTCACCCATTAACCAAATTAAACATATTCACTCCTTTACAGTCCTTCCTTGGACATCTGTTTCCAGTCGCTCCATCGTCTTGCTTTCTGTCCTTTCTGCAGGTCACCAGTACCTTCTTGGCCAGGCCATGCCCAGACCTCCTCGCACAATACCAGGTCCAGGTGCACGGGGGCTGCACGGAGAGGACCTATCACTGGTTTATCACATGACACCAATGCAGACCTTGCAGCTCACTATTGCACTGGCAAACTACACCCATGCACTGGGGTTTCCCTCTCGCTGCTACAACCCTTGCTGCATGACTTACTGCATCTACCCGTCCGTACAGTACCTTGCCACATAGGATGCAGCACAGCTGCCCGGGACAACACTAAGGAAGGAGCCTTCACAAATGATCTGCTGCATCTTGGCCAGGGAGGGTGTTTTATGCCGAAGGACAAGCCCTCCTCTTTGGAGGGACAGTGTGTTGACATCATTAAGCTGCTTAGGCAAAGAGATAGTCAACTACAAGCTGCCTGGGATATTAAAGACCATTTAATCAAGAAGAATGATAATCACACGGCTGCGTAGGGCGTTCCTGCCAGCACTTTGGGGTGTTTACCTCCCTAGCGCAGAGATGATCCTGTGCCTGGAGGAGGAGTGGTGGCCAAGAGGGCAAAGAGTGCCCAGAGGAGATCCTCCCAGCTTCACGTGTCACTCGATAGCTGTGCAATATCACCACTTCCCCATACTGCTAATGGGTGTACAAAGGGCTGAGAGGAGACGTGATTTCCAGCACATGCCGTCTTTCTGACGAGACATCAAGCTGACGTCATGCTTCTCTGCACGAGATCTCACAGCATTTCTAACACGATCTCAGACACGAGTGGGTCTGTGCTCCTGCCACGCTCTGCTAACAGATCATCGTTTTCTTTTGAGTCCAAATCATAGCAAAATCAGACCTCGGGAAGTCAACGAATCCAGTGCCCTGCTCAGAACAGGATCGTGCCTGTCTAAATATCCCGCATGAAAACACGTGTCTAAACCCGCACTTAAAACAATCCCAGTGACAGAGATTCCCTGATGTGGGAAAAAGAGCTGTGACCTCTGGAGCAAGCAGAGAAAGAAAGTGGCCGGGGTGGACCTTGAAGAGTCAGCCAGGAGCTGAGTCTTTATCAGCACAAATGCTTTTACAACCCGGGTCAAAGAGCAGGCGGCGTCACCCGTGGTGTGACACAGACAGGGAATCATACCCCCCAAAAAGGGACTGTCATTAACTCTTTC